CAGTGTTAACTGTTTCAAGAGGAGAGAATCTTCCAAGGAGAATCAAATAAAATCCAGACTCTCCTTATTACCATGGCTTACAAGGAATGCCCTACATGATCCCTTCCCACCTCTTTGACCTCTTACCATTCATCTTGCTGCTGGCCTACTTTTGTTCTTTAAACGTCAGGCTCGTTTCCTACATTAGGACCTATGTGCTTAGTGTTCCCTTTTCTGGAATGTCCTTCCCCCAATTCAGATTTTATCTCCTCAGGGAAGAGTAGCCAACCCTCTACTCTTTTAGCAGGATTGTTGTCAGGCTCTACTGATCTTTGAATCTCATTATATAGTTAAGATTATATTTTGTTTGGGCCTCAAACTCAGTTCCAGATCAAATATTTAGAACATGTTAAAGAAAATTATTTTTTAGAGATGGTTAGCAATGATGGTAGAGAATAATTTTTAGGTTTTAGAGTGCATCCTCCCTAAGGCATCTTGACATGAATTGTTGAAATGGTGAGAGCTATGTCTTATCCCCTTCCGCCAAGTGTATTGCAGGATGGTTAGAGGAATGGGGAAAACTGAAAAGGAGATGCCTGGAGTCCACTCTGTGGAAAGAATGAATGACAAATATGTAACAATATTGATAATCCAGTGGATTAAAAGCATTGGTAAAACATATGATTATTTTCTGAAAGATGGGAATACTATTAGACAAAGAAAGACTGTTTCAAAAACTAGTTTAAAGCTGTGAGTTCACTTTAGTTCAATGAATGTTTACTGAACTGACCACAGAGAAGTAATAGGAAGTTGGGAGTGCAGGCCTTAGGGACAGTTGCTGATCAACCTTATGCTGAATAAGTTCTTCCCCAGCTGAAGAACAGTAATTCCTCTACTCTTTCGAAATATAAAGATTAGCTCTTGAATTTCAGGGCCAGAAAGAATAAATGGCCAAGCAGTCGGTGACTATTTTATAATAATCCACTTGCCAATTTAGGGTTTCATAGAACTCCACAGAAGAAAGAAAATGACCTTTGTAGAACTTTGGGGGAGGGGAGTAACTTTATTTTTTATTTTTAAAGAGCCATTTTTGTAGTTAACTTGGTTGATGTGTATTAAATGTACTTTTGTTATCTTAAACATCTACTCCAAGCTCATGGACTTTCCTTATATAGTTTGCCTCTCTCCATAATCTGGCACGAGAATGCTTTTTAGTACTGAGTGTTTTCTTTTTCTGCTGGTCGCTTCTCACAGCAGTACTGGCCTTTCACCTGGTTTTGTGTCTTATTTTAGAAGTGGCCTTGTTCTCAGATCTTATTTTAAATGTTGGTTAGTCCAAGCCTTGCTGCAAATGGCTTTCCTGTCTGTGGAAGACAAAAAAGAAGAAGTCAGCATAAATTAAAATGAGAACGATTTCACATGGACCTAGAAACAAAATTGTTGTAAAGACAGTAGAGATTAATGCCAAGCTGCCCCAGTCTCCTACTCAGTAAGAATTTGAAGACCAAAAAGGCTAATGACTTGCTCAAGGTTATAAAATATTGATGAAGATTTATCATTCTCCTTATTTACATGAAGGCAATATACCCTAGTGAGCTATAATTTTAACACATAAAACAAGCTATTCATAAGGAAGGTAAATATACCAAACTGTTTACCCTAACTATCTTTGAGAACCATGGGTGGTGCATTACAAAGTTTTCTTCCTAATTCTCCAGGTTTGTCAGTGTTCAGTTACAAACGTCAGTATTTTCATATCATTATGAAGGCTGTCACATCTGGATTCGAATCTGGCCTCTGCCACTTCCTGGGCTGTGTCTCTGTGACTTTGGGGAAAGCTGCTCAACCTCTTTGACCTTCTATGTCCTAGCCTGAAAAATAGAAGAAACAATACATACTTTATTGAGTTAACTATAAAGGAGTTAACTTTGAGATTCTTCCAGCTAGTGCCTTGCCCCCAAGGAGCACTTCTAATGGAGCGACCATCACTGTTAACTGTAGCTGCTGTCCCAGCTTTTATCACAGAACACTGGGCACTGGCATAGGACGTCCATTCTCAAATGATTTAAATATTCATCTGCTTAAAAACCAGATGCTGAATTAGGCAGTTTTTTTTAACATACCTTCCAGTTCATTTTATCTTTCTGTTAATTCAGAGAAAGCACCATGGCCATCAGTTTTTACTTACCCTTTTGAATAATACTTAACTCTTGGATACCTCAATCAGAGCCCGATCCTTATTATAATTAAAATAAAAATCGCTGACCCTCTTTATTATTTTATATTAGAGAGCTTATCCTGCATTGCTAGGAAAAATTATTAACCATTGTTAAATTAAAACTCCCTATTGCTACTCATCTTTGAGCACTCTACATAGAATTGCCATGTGAGAAGCAGATGCCCTTGTGACTTGAATTTGTAATTCTTTTCAGAAACCACTGTTTTCTCTGTAACTGGTATCTTAATATGAATAATATGTCTCTTTTGAACAGCAATCTAAGATCACTGCCCATTTCTTGAAAGTCTCCCTCAGAGCCCCCAAAGTAAATTTCACTTATGCCCCCTAGTTTCTGTTTTTGCCCAGGAAAATCTCAACAAAAATATCCTTTGTTGTTAGTGAACATCTGTATACATAATCTTTTGTGATGCAGTCCCAGAAAAAAATGTCATTTCATTTATGTAGAAATACTATTGCCAACCTACCTAGAGTTTGCATAGTCCCAGATTAGGAACTTATAATTTTTTAATTTATTGTTTGGGACAGGCCTAGATTGTTTGACCTATTTTAGGTACTAAGTAACAGCCACAGTAAAAAATCTGAGTATTTTTTTGTATATTATTTGTAATGTTACTGTTTGTGAGGATGCTGTACTTTTCCAGTTTACAACTGAGGAAGCCTGTCATCATCATTAGTACTCATTCATTCAGCATGAGCACCTGTTTTATCTTAGGCACTGGAGATGTAAATATGAATAAAACATGATTCCTGCTCTGGAAAATTTCATAGTTTATTGGGGGAGAAGGATACATATATAACTGCATTTCAAAGTGATATGTACTATATAATGAATATATGGACAAAATGTCATAGTCATGTAAAGGAGGGAACAGTAAATTTGGGGGTGTATGGTAAGGTTACAAAGAGAAAGTGGCATTTGGGCCAAGTCTTGAAGGAGAGATGGATTTGCCGTTTGGAGAAAGAGGAGCCAGAAATGGTCAACAGCCTAGCAAAGGCCTAAAGGCTTGCCCTGGCAAGCTATGTGAGGGGAGTGTCTTCAGCATAGCTAGAGAAAAGGCTTTATGAAGGAAAGTGAGTCAAAGTTAGGAGTTTGAATTTTATCATTTGAGCATTAGGGAAGCATTGAAAATTTTTGAATTATGGCTGATGTAATCAGGCTTGAGTTTGAAAGCTCATAATAGTTCAGGGTAGAGAAAGAAAGACAAGTGGCAGACACCAGGTAAAAAGTTGTAGTTCTCCAAGCAAGACACAGAAGTTTACACTAAGACCGTTTGTGTGTAGATTTAAAAAAAAAGAAAAAAAGGCAGGGGGTGTGTCTCTAGATTTGAGAGCATTTTTGTAGGTGTAAAAAATATGATTTTGTGATGGATATGATACGGGAAGTGTGGGCAGGGGGAGATCTGGTTTGGGTGATGGGCTAGAGTAACTGAAATTAATAGAACTGGGGAAAGTGAAAAAGGAAGGGAAGGATTGTTCCTTGTTCTGTTTTTCGTCTGTTTTGGGAGCAGGCAAGGGTTTTCATTTTGCATAAGATAGGGTCAGTGTTTTCAGGAACATTCTAGCAGACACGTCTGGATCTGAATCACAGCAGAGAGGTTACCATAGTAATATTTTTGAGTTCTTACTGTTTATTTTTCCATTAAAAACTAAGGTTCTCAGAGGTTAACTGATTATGGTCTCAGGAAGGTGGCTGTAGAACCAAAACATAAATTCCTAAGCTTCTTACCAACTAGGCCTTAACTAAAATAGCCCTTTGGGGGAAAAAAAATCTCTTGATTTCCATTATAATTGTTTTACTGTTTCATTTCCCAGAGCATCTTTACTTAAAAATACAACAAAACAAAGCCCAACTGGTATATATATCCACAATCTTATTTTCTGCACTATTTTCTGATCTTAATGTTTTTTGACTAATGCCAGTCAAATGAGGAGTGCTCGGGATAATAGCTGAGGAGTTCCAAACCTCTTGTTTGGTTCTAACAAAACCTTAAAATTCAAAGATTAGATAGTCCTCAGGAAATACTCATTATTTCACATATGTTTGATCTGATCCCAGTTGTTGCTCTGATTACAAATGAGGGAAATGAGAAGTTTTGAAGAATGAATGTGTAGTGTCCACTTTTCTGCAGGAATTGAAAAGTAAAAATTTCCCCCACTATTGGGATTATTGAGCTATGAGCTATTCTCTTGAACACCAGAGAATAAAGTAGACAGTTCTTCAAAATCCATCCTCACCCCCAAGTTTCAGGGGTCACAGTGTTCATTGAAACACTTGGGTGTTTGTGAAGGACTTGAGTAGACTTCAAAACAAGGCACTGTACACATCTGACACCCTTTTTTCACATATTTTAAAAAATAATTAGCATCCTTTATCCACGTGAAATTCTAGTTTTAACTGTTACTGTATAGATTCTCTGTGAAGCTCCTTGGGCTGTGGTGTTTTTCCATTACTTTGTTCTTGATGCTGTGAAATGTCGTTGCCTGTGTTTAAGACAGAGGCAATAGAGTGCACCCAGAAGTGGCTATAATTCTATATTTAGTAAGCCATAGGGTTTGCAAAGCATTTGCAGATTCCTTCGGGATAAAATGGTTTCTATAAATGTAACATTTTTAATGAAACTATTATTATCATCCATTAGAGAAATATAGCAGTTAAATGTGTGGGGTTTGTGGACAAGACAGAGGCACAAAACTTTTTTTTCTTAAGAGTACACTGAGTATTTTAAATACTTAAAAGTAATCATGTGAATCCTATTTTTATACCTTTAATCTTGAATTGCAGAGCTTTTACTCAAGTGTTTACCTTTGGTCCAACATTCCGAGCAGAGAATTCTCAGAGCCGGAGACACCTGGCAGAGTTTTACATGGTAGAAGCAGAGATTTCTTTTGTTGAGAGTCTTCAAGATCTCATGCAGGTAGGTACACAAGTTTTAAAACAGTTTCTAAATAACATATCTGTGACATTAAAATGCTTCTGTATACATTTTCACCTTGGACATCTGTGCATTATAGGTGTTAATGGAGTGAAGAAGATGGGGAACTACTTAATTTGATAAACATCTACTGAATCCCTTTAAAGTACAAGAGTCAGATTTAAGTTCATATCCCAGCTCTGCCATTAATTTTGTTTTGATGTTACCAAACCTTGGTGATCCTTAGCTTCCTCAACTATAAAATGAGAATAATAGTAACTATTTCATAGGGAGTAAATGCAATAATGGATGTATAATGTAAAGGATCTAGTATTGAGCTTAGCATATAGCAAGCTCAATAAATAATAGCTCTTGTTATTTGTTAGGCAAATAAATAAAACATCTTTATATTTAGAGAAACATCTACATAGCTGTTTTGGAAAGCATCTACAGGAACCATCAGAGCTCTGTTTTGGGAACAAGAGATAAGTCCAGAAAGATAGTCAAGAGTTAAGATCTTGAAAGAAAGACTTTGTAAATGCTATGCTAAGTAGTTCAGAAGGTGAAAGAGAGAGTTCTCAGTTGGGAAAGGCCATGGTCAATTATAGTTTAGAAACATCTCTCTAGTGATAATATTAAGAATGATTCAGAGGGGGATAAAAATGAGGGTGGGAGTCCTTTTAGGAGGCTGTGGCCATAGTCCAGTTAGAGCACATAAGCTCTGAAGTTGGATGGACCAGGAATTGATTTTTAGTTCCACCACTTGCTTTGTGATCTTAGACAAGGGAGTTAATTTTCTGAGCCTCAGTTTCCTCACCTGTAAAATGAGAATAATAGTTCCTACTTTCTAGGGTAGTTCAGAGGATTACACGGATTATATGTATAAGTCACATAGAATAGTTCATGGCACTTTGCACCCAGAAATTATTGACTGTTATTATGAATTCTCTACCTATTACCATTAATATCTTAGTTTGGATTTGTAATCACAGAATGTTTAACAATTTTCATCACCTCTCAACTTCTATTCATTTTGTATCTTTCTACTCTTATCCAGTAAATGACCCAATTCCACTTAAAACATAAATAGCACATATATTGTCAAAAAGAATGGACTTACTTTTTTTATTATCCTATCTTGGTTGGATTTCCTAGTAAACAAACTAAAGCAGAGATTTGGGGGGTGGACGGTTATTGGGGAATGCTCTAGAGAATAACATCTGTAAGGAAAGGAAGAAAGCAGCATTGGGCAGAGGGAAAAGTTGAACTACAATGCATGTACAGAGGCCTTAGCCAAATCTTTGAGGAACTTTGGAGCAGGAATGGTCCTTCGTAGTTGTCGCATAGAAAGGCAAGGGGGCGGTGTACCTTTGTTCTTCCCCCATCAAGCAGTTACCTGACATGGGCTAGCCTTGAGAAGAGGCATACTCTTGGGTAGGATAGTACTCCTGGCCTGGCCAGTTCCTGAAGAGGGACTCAGCTGGGAGCCATCAGTAATTAATATTCCCAGTGGATAAAGCTCTTGGTCCTGAAGGGGTGTTTTGACCACACACAGTATCCATTTATATACCACTTTAACATCTCCCACTGATTGTTGTGGACCATTGTCCCCCAGGGGACATTTTTGGTTGTCTCGAGGAAGTGGATGGAGGAGAGGGGAGAGTAGTTGCTACTGGCATCCAGTGGGTAAAGGCTAGGGATGTTGTTCAACATGCTAACATGCCCAGGTCCCTCCCCCTCAATAAAGAGTTATCTGGCCAAAAATGACAATAGTAACACTGTAAAGTAATTCTTTTCTAAAATGTGGGGATTCACGGGGCGCCTGGGTGGCTCAGTCGTTAAGCGTCTGCCTTCGGCTTAGGTCATGGTCCCAGGGTCCTGGGATCGAGCCCCACATCGGGCTCCCTGCTCAGCGGGAGGCCGGCTTCTCCCTCTCCCACTCCCCCTGCTTGTGTTCCCTCTCTCGCTGTCTCTCTCTCTATCAAATAAATAAATAAATCTTTAAAAAATAAATAAATAAAATGTAGGGATTCAGGATCTGAGCCTCACAAGGAGTCAGTAAGATTCCTTAAGCAGCTTTTGGTTCCAGCCCACCACCCAATTCGGTATTACTCTCTCACTTAGGCAATGAGAGTATTGTAAGCCACAGAATCACACCCTTTATCTCCCTGTTTCTGCCTTGACCCTGTCTCTCCTGCCCTCCCCCTGTAAATAGCAGAGAAAGGTTCCAAAGACATAAATTGTTAGAAATTATTAAATATTATAATTATATATTCTGTACCTAATAATTTTTATTTAGTATTCCACTGAGTATACTCAGCATACACTGTTCAATGATGTTTAATTAATTGAAATACGAACTTTTTCTTAAAGACAGAAAAAAGGTATGCTCCCCCCACAAGTAATCTTCTACTTCTCTTAATTTTCTCCCTTTTTTAAATTATATTCTGTGGAAATTATTATCTTGAAAATATTAAATCAGAATACTGTAACAAAGGATTTTCCCCTCATAAGGTATAAACAAATATTACTATTTTAGTGCCATTGAGTAATGTATTTTTAAAAACATCTGAAGGTTATGCTAACCCTTCAGTTAAGTTTCTGTTTTCTTCAAATATATTTATAGAGCATAGTCTGAAAGTCAAGGTTAGAGAAACCAGTGATTTTCTTCTTCAAATGGAAATTTACTGCTCATATGAAAGACACCAGCTTAACATCGCCAGTGGTCAGTCTTCATCTTACAGATAGGGTGTGTTGTGCACCTCAGCAGTGCAGACTTAGTATCCAGTCTGTTTTTGTTTGCTCCCCATATGTGTCAGCTTTTTTTAGTGATTGAGGTATATGACCCTTCATAAATCATTCAGTTACTTAGTGATTTCTTTATCTCACTACTCCTAGATCAAAAGTAATATAGCCTCAAGGTAAAAGATCTTTAGCCTCCTTTTACTCTTCTTTCATCAGGTTATTCCTTACTCTTATACAAAATATATATGTAAATATAAAAATACAAAATATATAAAATACACACACCCATACATATGCATATATATTATGCATATATATAAATGTATCTGGTTGTTTCTTGGTAATTAAGTACGTTCCTGTATCTGATCATACTGAGCTGGTGCAGTAGATGCTTGTTCCCTGCCCTGTGTCTCCAGCCTTGAGAGAGTGCACTAGGGATGCAGGAGAAGGAGGGAAGATCCCTGCCTCTGGGGTAGCCTGTACATACTGAGTGTCTCTGAGTCCAACATTGGGAAGGCCTAATAGGATCTCACTGACTTTAAACATTTTAGTTTTGATTAGAAATATTTTCCATTCCAGTCAGTTTTTTTCTTCTAACAACAAGTTTTTTTTCTGTGGGATGTGTATGGATACCCCTGGTAGAATGCATTCTTACGTACTGATTTGTGTTGTGTCAGGATTTGTGTTATTTTCACTGTATGCTTTAGCAAAGCAAAAATACACATATTTAGATGTAGATCTATCTCATTGCTTCTCTAATTTTAAAGTCAGCTTTCATTTACCAGTGTAAGTGGTGTCTCATTCTTCACAACAACTAATGTTAATTGTGTCCTTCTCTGAGCCAGGTACTGAAGCTAAGTCTTATACATGGATTATCTCATTTAATTATCACAATAATCCTGGAAGCTAGGTACTGTTATTGTCCTTATTCTACAAGTGAGTATGTTGCACTTTAGAGAGGCATCAGTCAGTTTTGGCTGTTCATTTGACATCCCACTTCAATACTAGTATTGAAACTGTTAACAAAAGATTCATACATTTTTCTTTCCTTTTTTTACCCACTCTGGGAAGAAATTGCACTGCTCCCATAATCAATCTGGAAAACTGAACTAACTTGCTGTAGTATATTCGGGGATTAAGAGGCCTAACGGATTTATAGCTGCTAAAACCTGGAGAGCAGTCCTTTCTTACAGGACCCTAAATAGGTTTTTCATATAAAGGAGCTTACTTGTCAGACAATTCTCTGTCATTTCTCTTAGGTTATGGAGGGACTCTTCAAGACTGCAACAATGACAGTTCTCTCAAACTGTCCTGAAGATGTTGAACTCTGTCACAAGTTCATAGCTCCTGGCCAAAAGGTAATTAGTTTTGTGAATAAAGTCCAATACATCTATTCTTTAAATATGTTAATTACATATAACAAATATAATTACATTTAATAAATTTTTTTTCTCTTTTCTTACCAAGGACAGATTAGAACATATGCTAAAAAACAACTTTTTAATGTAAGTAGATACTATACTTTCTCTCAACTTTATTCATGTTTTATTACAGTATTTATCACAGTCTTAAATTTTTTTGTTTCTATATCTGCTTATCGCAAGGAAGGTCCATGTTTTAAATATTTTTGTAGCTCTTATATCTGGTTCATAGTTGATAATCAATGTTTCATGAATAAATACATGAATAAATCATAGCAAGATAAATGAACACAGTAATTATTAACTGAATTAATATAATTCAGACTAATATTAACTTTAGTAATAAAAATTTGGCTCAATTAAAAAACTTTTATTTTGGAGCACCTGGGTGGTTCAGTCAGTTAAGCATCTGACTCTTGGTTTTGGCTTAGGTCATGATCTCAGGGCTGTGAGATCAAGCCCTGCCTCTGGCTCTAAGCTCAGTGCAGAGTCCGCTTGTCCCTCTCCTTCCCTCTCTGCCCCTCCCCCACTCACACTGCCTTGTTCACTCGCTCTCTCAGATAAATAAAATCTTTTTAAAAAACTTAAGTCCAGTATATTAACATATATTAGTTTCAGGTGTGCAATGTAGTGATTCAACAATGCTATTATGTTATTCAGTGCTTATCGAGATAAGTGTACTCTTAATCCCCTTCACCTATTTCACCCATTCCCCCACCCGCCTCCCCTCTGGTAACCATCTGTCTGTTCTCTGTAATTAAGAGTCTGGTTTTGTTTTGTTTGCTTGTCTATTTTTTTCTTTGTTTTATTTTTTAAATTCTACATATAAGTGAAATCGTGCAGTATTTGTCTTTCTCTGACTTATTTCACTAGATTCATCCATGTTGTTGCAAATGGCAAGGTTTCATTCTTTTTTATGGCTGAGTAATATTTCGTTGTGTATCTGTACCACATCTTCACCTATTCATCTATCAGTGGACACTTGGACTGCTTCCATAGTTTGGCTATTGTAAATAATGCTGCAATAAACATAGGGGTGCATGTATTTTTTCAAATGAGTGTTTTTGTATTTTGGGGGTAAATACCCAGCAGTGGAATTACTGGATCATATGGTAGTTCTATTTTTAATTTTTTGAGGAACCTCCATACTGTTTTCCACAGTGGCTGCACCAGTTTGCATTCCCACCAATAGTGCACGAGGGTTCCTTTTTCTCCACATCCTCACCAACACTTGTTGTTTCTTATGTACTTGAGTTTAGCCATTCTAACAGGTGTGAGATGATCTCATTGTGGTTTTTAGATCTGCATTTCCCTGATTAGTGCTGTTGAGCATCTTTTCATATGTCTATTGGGCATCTGGATACCTTTGGATAAATGTCTGTTCATGTCTTCTGCCCATTTTTAATTGGATTATTTGTTATTTGGGTGTTGAGTTGTATCAGTTCTTTATATATTATAGATACTAACCCTTCATCAGATATGTCATTTGCAAATATCTTCACCCATTCGGTAGGTTATCTTTTAGTTTTGTTGATTGTTTCCTTGTTTCCTTGGCTTTCTGTGCAGAAGCTTTTTATTTTGGTGTTGTCCCAATAGTCTATTTTTGTTTTTGTTTCCCTTGTCTCAGGAGACATACCTAAAAATGTGTTGCTGGGGCTGATGTGAAAGAAATTACTGCCTGTGTTCTCTTCTAGGATTTTCATGGTTTTAGGTCTCACATTTAGGTTCTTAATCCATTCTGAATTTATTTTTGTGTATGGTGTAACAATGTGATCCAGTTCCATTCTTCTGCATGTAGCTGTCTAGTATTCCCAACACCGTTTGTTGAAGATACTGTCTTTTTCCAAATGGATATTCTTTCCTGCTTTGTCAAAAATTAACTGACCATACTAGTGAGTGTTTATTTCTGGGCTCTCTGTTCTGTTCCATTGATCTCTGTGTCTGTTTTTTGTGCCCATACTATTCATTTTGATTACTACAGCTTTGTAGTATATCTTGAAATCTAGGATTATGATACCTCCAGTTTTGTTCCTCTTTTTCAATATTGCTTTGGCTCTTTGGGATCTTTTGTGGGATTGTTTGTTCTAGTTCTGTGAAAAATGCTATTGGTACTTTAATAGGGATTACGTTAAATCTGTAGATTGCTTTGGGTAGTATGAACATTTTAACAGATTTGTTTTTCCAATCCATGAGCATGGACTATGTTTTCATTTGTTTGTGTTATCTAAAAAACAAACTTCTAAAATACATACATGTAATGTCTGCCTGTCAGTTTTTCTCTGTTTCAGTTTTCTTTTTATTTACTTTCAATTGCTCAGATCTGATAATATGTTCTACACTGTTTTTTAGCCACTTTTTTAAACCTAAAAATCTGTGTTTTAAGTATAACACATATGTTGTTCCTTCATTTCCACTACAATCCTATGCAAGTAATACTGGATATTGGACAGGTTATTTATTCCACTAAGCATACTAATCAGATAGTCTGTTCCATTTTACAGTTTACTATAAAACAAATACATACTTAATATGGAAAAAGAACGATAAGCAATCTCTTCATAAATAGTGCAAACATTTTATATAAGACTTAGTATTCATTGTATTTACAGTGGGTATAGGAGGTAAGTTTGATACTCAGAAGAAGAGAAAATTGTTTCTGAACATGATTTGATATCATTCTTCACTTACTGTCATTAGGTTTAGGAAGTTTTTGTTCTAAGAGAATAAAGAATTCACCCGTCCTAGAGGAGGGTAATAAGAAAAACTTGGCACACTTGACTGAGCTGAGAATTTCAGATATCAGTGTAGGCCTTAAGGCAACAGATAATGAGATCAGAAAAAGAGGAAATAGGAGCCCCATGATAGAGAATCGAAAGGCAGTGAAGTAGTACATATTAAGTATGTTAACTAACTGGAATTTAAATAAAAACTTGAAAAAAGAAAAGAAAGTGTATATTGAATATTCACGATGTGCCGCGCTTGTTCTAGAATCTGAAAAAACTGTCTTAAAGCAGTGAACATAGAAGACAAAATTCCCTGCCTTCATCGAGCTTACATTTCGGGAGGCGGTAATAAGAAACAAGAAACAAGAATAATAAGTAAAACCTATAGTTTGTGAGAATGGGTTATACTAAGGGGGAAGAAACCCAGAGAAGAGAAAGAAGATAAGACAAACGAGTGAGGAGGTAGAAGTTTTAGATAGTGTGACAGAGAAGATCTCACTGAGATGACTTTTCAGTAAAGACTTAAAGAAAGTGAGAGAACTAGCTGTATGGATATGTGGGAAAAGAATATTCTAGGCAGAGGGAATAGCAACTACAAAGGCCTCGAGGTTGGAGCATGCCTGGTGTGTTCAAGTAATAGGAGTGGATAAGGGAAAAGGGTAATAGAAGATAAAGAAAGGAGATGAGAGGTGGGAAAATCATGTAGGGCCTTGTAGGTCACTGTGAAGAGTTTGGGTTTTTGCTTGAGTGATGTGGGGAAGCTATTGAAGGGTTCTGTACAGAGGACTGATAAGATCTGAATTGGATTTAACAGGATCACTCTAGCAGGCTTTAGAATAAGACAGAAAACCAACCAGGAGATTATTACAGTCATCTGAATGAGAATAAATGATTGTTTGGACCATGTATTAGATTTATACAGAGAAACAAAACTGACATGATGTATATAAAGAGAAAGATTTATTTTCACGGAATCATCTCACACAATGTGGAGGCTTGTTGAGTTCAAAATTTGATGGAGTAGTTCAGCAGGCTAGAGACTCAGGGAAGAGTTAGCAGCTGGAGTCTGAAGGCATTTTGCTGGCAGAATTCCCTCTTTCTTGGGAGAGGCCAGTCTTTGTCCTCTTAAGGCCTCCAACTCATTGGATGTGGCCCACTCACATTATGGAGGGCAACGTGCTTTACTCATCATCCACTGATTTAAATGTTAATCTCATCCAGAAACTCCTTCACAGAAACATCCTGAATGTTTGACCAAATATCTGGGTACCATAGCCCAGCCAAATTGACACATAAAATTAACCATCATAGGCCAGGATGGTGGCAGTAGAGGTACAGAGAAGTTGGTCTATTCTAGATATATTTTAAAGATAGAACAAACAGGATTTGCTGAGAATGGGAAAGAGGGAGAAGTCAAGTGTAACTTCAAGTCTTTTGTCTTATACAGCTGTAATGGCCATTAACTGAAATTGGGAAAGCCATTAGAGTAGCCAGGGGTTGGGGGAGGAAGGGGATGGTATCACCACAAGATACATCATGTATCATGTTAAAATGAGATGCTTTTCAGACATCCAGTTGTAGATGTTGGGTAGGCAGTTTCAGATGAGTTCTGGACATAGCATAGTGATAAAAGTAGTAAGTAAGCAGAGAAAGAAAGAATTAATTTGGGCATCCTAAGGAATCTGTGCTGGTGACAGAAAACCAAGGAGAACATCTTAAGAGATGTTATCCACATCCTATCTAGTGAATAAGATCTAAGATGGGAAAACAATACCCACTATTTATTGAATATTTGCTATGTACTTCGGTGATAAACCTTACATACATAAATGTAAAAAAAGTTCATTGTATCTTCACAATTCTATGAGTTGTTATTATTGCTCTTCTGATGAAGAATCAACTCAAAGAGATTAAGCAAGTAGAAGATGAAATGGAAATTCAAACCCACTTATCTGATTTCAAAGCTCATGCTTTCAACCACTAGGCTTCGAAAGGGCACTGGAATTAATGCTAGAGTAGTTGTATCTTTTCTCTGTCCTTATGACCCTCACATATCACTTGTGCTTTGGAGTTCAGATCTATAAAATACTGAGGTTGTTAAATGACTTCATGGGCTGTGCCACATCGGTCATTGCTAGCCAGCATCATTGTCCATTCCACAGCGCAAATCATAGCTGTGGTTTAAACGTATACCTGTGATGATTTGTTTAGTGTTTGTCACCTCCACGTGGTCAGGGACTTGTTGATTTTGTTTACTGTTAACACCCCCAGTGCTTAGTGCCTCTAACAGGAACTCAGTAAATATTTATTGAATAACTGAATGAATGAGTAAATGACATTTGAGTAGCCATGGGGGTGAGAGTATTCTCCTTTAGGCTAGGTCCTCTCCCTGAGGTTTCCTGTTAACTTCTGTCACTCTTTACTTTGGTCACTGAGTGTAGTGATCTATGACTCAGAGGACCTGGATTCTAATTCTGGCTATACTTCTTAACAGCTCTTAATGAATGTGTTAATACTTTTCAACAAATATTTATTGACTGTCTACTGTGAGTTAGGCACTGTGCTAGTCATTGATGATCCAGGTCCTTTTATGGAATTTAAAATCTGGAGAAAAAGATGAATAGTTAACTGTTTGCATGAATGATTATTTAATTACAACTATGGTTAATAGTAAATCTTTAACCTTTCTGAACTTGAGTTTCCTCATCTATAAAGTTATAACTTGTCTGTCATATCGTTGAAAGGATCAATTGGGCAACTGCTTAAGCAATGTGCCAGGCTACATAACTTAACAATCCTGCTATAAAACGTCTAAAAATGCTTGTTAAAAATGATAAAAATCCTTTTAATTACATTGTTGAGTTCACTAGAAAGTAAGAGAAGTTCCAGGAGCTACAAATGAAGAGGGAACTGAGCACCAGTGGGGAATACATAAATGGCATGACACTGAGGTTTCTCAATGTGGAGGGTATGGTAGATGGCGGGGACAGAGTGGGAGGGAGGGAGTTGCCAGTCTTTGAAACCAGAGATTTTAACAGCCATAAGAGGACATGAAAGTAGACCTAAGCATGATGAATTAGAATCAAGATACTAACCAAGTACACATATGCATACATACGCACACACATGCACCCACACACAGAAGATACCACGTGACTTGTATTCCTTTGCATAAATAGATTTCATTGTATTCTTGACTACTTATAATTGTTTTATATGAAAATAAATTATTTAAAGGACTTGTATAATAATTGAATTTAGCCTTTACCAAGCAGAAATAGAATTCATAAATTCAATAGAATTTATGTCTCCTTTATAGCATTAAGGTTTTTAAAATAAAGAGTACTTACCTTTTGCTCTTCATTTATCTGTGAATTTGAGTCAAAGAATGCTAATAATTTTAGCTTAGCAGTTCTAATCCAACAGCTTGAGAATAATTTTCTTAAACCATAAAAAAATTTAAATATGAAGGTAGTTTGATCCTGCATCATGTAGTATCACTATGTCTCTTCCTCCTTTCCTCAAAGTACTTTAGAAATAGCTTCTGGGAAGAAGAGATATTATTCTCTGTACATATCAAAAAAAATTAGGAGAGAGAGGTGATAAAGGCCATTAAGGATACCCAGTGTCAGAACTGTAATTTGAGCTGAAAAGCTCTGCCTCAACTTAAGGTGTGGGAGGGGTAGAGCAGAAGATCCAGAATAACAGGAGATACACAGAAAGTCATTTTTAAAAATAATGTAGCAGTAACATATCAATGGCACAAAATCCCTATGCCTCCCACTTTGCTCTTAAAATTCTCAGTATAATGAATAGATCATATCAAGTAATTGATGGAATAGAACAATAGAATATCTAAGCAGAAAAGAACTTTAGACAGTATAGTCCAATCTTCTTATTTTACAAGTACAAATACTTAATTTTTCTAATGGTTGTATAAAACATTACAAAAATTTATAAAATGCTTTCATTAAGATGAAGTGATTTACATAGTAGCTAGTAAGGGGTAGAGTCAGAGGGAGAACTCAGAGCCCATAGACTTTGTTTTGATTGAGCATATTAAACTCCCAAATGTTTTAGGCATTATCTTAGTAGTTAAAAGCTTAGGCTTTGAAGTCAGCACATCAGGTTTACTACTTACTTACATGAGTGATTTTGGGCAAGTTACTGTCCCCTCTAACCTTCCTTTTCCCTTCTGTAAAATGTGTTTAAAAATGACTACCACCACCAACACCACTTTCATTCTTGCCTTAGAAATTGTTGTTTAATACTAAGGTTTTAATTTGAATAAAATTTTCATCTTGGAAAAATATCACTCAAAACATAGCTTTGGAGGCTTTATTTGTGCCATAGACACAACTCCTTCCAATTAGTTATTATAGATATGAATTTAATTTTTATGGCAAAGATAAGTATGTGTTGGGTAACTTATCTTTTGAGTTTAAAGTCCTTCAGAAAGTTCATAGATTTTTGTTTTTTGTTTGTTTTGTTTTGGGGTTTTGGGGGGTTTGAGGGGTTGGATGTTTTATTGTAGATTTTTGTTTTTAATCATGCAAAGTACTGTTGCAGGGGCACCTGGGTGACTCAGTCGGTTAAGCATCTGCCTTCTCAGGGTCCTGGGATGGAGCCCTGCGTTGGGCTCCCTGCTCAGCAGGGAGTCTGCTTCTCCCTCTCTCTCTCTCTGCCCCTCCCCCTACTCATGTTCTCTCTCACTCTAATAAATAAAATCCTAAAAAAAAAAAATGTTCAAAATACTGTTGCAAAGGGCATAGGGAAACTGACATTTTCGTATACTACCAATGGGCATAAATTGGTGTACCATTATAAAAGGGAAGCAGTATCTTTGGCAGTATCAAAATATCTGTAAATGTAAATACACTGTGATCCATTAATTCCATTTTTTCCATATGCAAAATTAATATATAAGAATCATTTGTGATAGATGTATGTAGTCAGGATTTATGATAGCAAAATATTAGAAACAGCTAAAATATCCCATCAATAGATGAGTGGGTAAACTAATTAAGATACAGCCACAAAATGGAATATTATATAATAGTTCAAAAAATGAAGAAGCCCTTTCTTTATATACTGATGTGGAAAGATCTGCAAGGTATATTATTGAGTCAAAAAAGATGGAAGAGTGTATATGGCATGTATACTATGGCTGCCATCTATTAAACAAAGGAGATTGTATATTAATATTTGTTTATAGTTGTAAAAAACCCTCTGGAAGGATACACAAAAATCCAATGACAGTAATTGTATGTGAGGAGAGGAGCTACGTGGCTATGGGACAGGGTGGAAGGGAGATGTACACTCTTATACGTCTTGTTTTGTTTGTTTTTTTTTACTATGTTCATGTATTACCTATTCAGTTTAATTAAAACAATGCTTGGCTTGGCTTGCTTTAGACATGAGAGTTTCTTACTGAGGTAACCAATGACATTTTTCCTAAACAGTCTTACCCTGCTTAGCATATATTATAAAGCCCTGACCGTGGCCTGAAAGAATCCATAAGATCTGACCCCTGACTATCTTTCGTATCTAATTTGCTGTCATTCTTCCCCTTGCTCTCAATATGCTAGAGGCGCATTGACTTTTTTGTTCCTGGAATGAGCCAAACTGTTCCTTCACTTCAGGCCTTTGTACTTACCGTTCCTTTTGCCTAGAATACTTACCCTCAGATATTTATATGGTTCATTTCCTTACTTCAGATGTCCCCAGCTCAGTGAGTCCTTTCTTGACCATCTTATCTAGAATAACACCCCTAAACACCCTCTGTCTTACCTTGCTTTATTTTTCTTACAGCACCAATGGTTTCCCACATTATATTCTTTCTGTTTACTTGTTTCCCCCCCCCCCTTACTCCCATCACTTACACACACAGATATCACCTCCATATAGGCTTTGTTTTTATTTACTGTCTCTCCAGTGCCTAGAATAATGCCTAGCACATAATAGGTGCACAATAAATATGTATTGGATGAATGAATGATGACTTTATGGAAAGACTTTTGCTCTTTCAGCCTCAGTATTTCACACCTTTTACTAGGGCATTGGCATAACATGAATTCAGAGGAAATCTTTACTTGACTGGTTCTTCTATATACACTGCAAGTAGATCAGGAATGGGATTACTGAAATGGCCACTTCTCTTCATACTGATCAGACACTCATATGATTAGATCAGCCTTAATTCCTGGTTACTCAGCGATGATTTATTTATAATCATTCCTGATTACTCAGTCATTAGTATTCATTCGTGATCTCAAAGATTGTATGGGAATAGGCCTTTTGTAGTTTTTCAGATCGACTAATTAGCAACATACTATTGTATTGACCGTTCTCTGCTTTTACCCGGTTCCTTTCCAGCATTTCTTATACTGAAGCAATAGAGATCTTAAAGCAGGCATCTCAGAACTTCACCTTCACCCCAGAGGTAGTATTTATATTTATATTTATATTTTTATGTTTATATTTTAACCCCTCTTGTCCTTATCACATTGCATTAAGAATCCTGGGGCACCTGGCTGGCTCATTCAGTAGACCATGCAACTCAAAGTTGGGTTTAGAGCTTACTTTAAAAAAAAAAGAATCCTTTAAAATAATCTTATTTCTCTGGGCACCTGGGTGGCTCAGTTGGTTAAGCCTCTGACTCTTGGTTTTGGCTCAAGTCATGATCTCAGCGTCCCGAGATCAAGCCCGGCGTTGGGCTCTGCTCCCAGCGCAGTGTCTGCTTGTCCTTCTCCCTCTGCTTCTCTTCCCACACTCTCACTCTCTCTAGAATAAGTAAATAAAATCTTTAAAAATAAATAAAATAAGTAAATAATCTTAGTTCTCTTATTAGCACTGTTTAGTATTTGCCCATCTTTAGATTAGCTTTTTTTGATGTTTGCTTTTAGCCTTGTTAAAGTATTTAGAATAAATAATAATTTTGAAGTTGTATCATATCATTTTTAATAGTAGTGGCTAAAGGATTATAAAGAAGTTTCCCAAGTTTAGGAAGATGAAAATCCTTGAAAAGAATGGTAATATGTCGAGAGAGGCCACATGATTTATCAGTGGGCATGCCCATAATATTAGAGGCAAGTCTCCTCATTCCTATGCCAGGGTTTCTTTCCTATAATTAAGATACTGGCAGACAAGTAGGAATAATATAATGTTAGGAATGTACTGTAATAACTTTGTCTTCAAACCATATACCAGTCCTATCCCCAGTTAAGTCAGATCCTCCTGTGAGTTATAATAGTTGTGCTTGTTATATTTATAATCAGTTATTTTGTTTATGTAATTTTTTATTTAATATTTGTCTCCTACCCTGGAAGCTTCATGAAGTCGGGAATTCTGTTTTTCTTACCACTGTGTTCAGTACCTAGCATGGTACCGAGATTTAGTAGGCACATTAGTATTTGTTGAATAAATAGATGAACAGTGTTATTAAATATTCATCAGAGCATCTGATATATGAACTGACTCTTCTATTAAAAAAAATTTCACTGAGAGAAGCCATCTAGCCAGAGATAGATTCAATATTAGGAATATTATCTTTCATCATTTAATTTCCTGCAATCTAGGAACAATAACCATAGAAGAAGCTCTAGGCAATGTTAATAAAAGCTGTGATTTTGAAGTCAGTTTTCACACATTGTGGGAAGGGTACTTTGTTTTCCTGCAGATGCTATTCATCTACTAAATGCTGCTCCCCAAGATGGGGGACAGAAAGCATAGTGTTTATCTGCTTGTTTCGGCTTTCATTTTCCAGGCCTTCGGATGTTCTTTTAACACACCTCCCTGGCTTAGTTATCTGTATAGCCTCAGCAGACAGCTCCACACATCACTGGTCCTCAGAGGAAGCCCTTGGAATGGATACAGGTTATTTTTGGGTACTGCATTGTGTATTTCAGGTCTGCTTCTCCTTTGATAATTTCTTTTTTCTCATTACAGTGGGGTGTTGATCTACATACCGAACATGAAAAGTACCTGGTGAAGCACTGTGGCAACATACCAGTCTTTGTCATTAATTATCCATTAGCACTCAAGCCTTTCTACATGAGAGATAATGAAGACGGCCCTCAGCACACAGTAAGAAAAAACACTAAATAAATCGGGGCTGGTCATCTCAGAATCTGGGTTTTTCCCTTCATTTAATTTCATTTATCCTTTGGCATATTTTTAAAAAATTATATCCAGCACACTTTACATCTCTTAAAATGATAAAATTTCTCAAAGGCGCCTCTGAAAAAGTGTTCCTAAAGAAGATTCCAGTGTTCTATAAGTGTACGTGTTATTTCTATCGCATGGTGTCCTCCTTCGTTTAGCAGATGCAAATGTAAATGTGTTTGTTTTCTGTTTTTGTAAATAATTGGGAGGGAGTGTCCCAGAACACTGTTTAGCAGTGCCAGGTCTACTGTCAGCTGAAATACTGGTAAGGAGACGGAGGGACGGGCTGGGTGCTGGGCAAGAAAGGAAAGCAGTGGCATGATCAAGCAGAGGAAGAGCTAGCTCGCAGAGCAGGAAGTTCAGAGTACTTTGGTTTGGTTGTCACAGAGCAATGGGGAGTGGAGCGGATGGAGGGATCTGAGAGGTCTAGGCAGATTCTCCTGTCACTGCTCTTCTAACTCTCTTGTCTCTTGTCTCTGTCTCTCTCTCTGTCTCTCTCTCTCTCTGCTCTCTTTTGCCTGTCATGCTCTGTCCTTTCTTCACCCTTAATTTTGACTGCAATGTGATAAGGACAAGAGGGAATAAAATATAAAAATAAAAATATAAAATATAAGGTGCTTCCTGCTGGGCTGCTCGCTCCTCCGCTTCTGTCCGCTCCGCAGCGGGAAGCACCTTCCCCACAGGACATCAATGCAAGCCTGAATAAGAAAAACAATTTCTTCCTTCTAAGCCATGGCATATCAGTTATACAGAAACACCACTTTGGGAAACAGTCTCCAGGAGAGCCCTGATGAGCTCATACAGTCTCAACAGATCACCCCCCAACTTGCCCTTCAAGTTCTACTTCAGTTTGATAAGGCTATAAATTCAGCATTGGCGCAGAGGGTCAGAAACAGAGTCAATTTCAGGGGCTCTCTAAATACATACAGATTCTGTGATAACGTGTGGACTTCTGTTTTGAATGATGTTGAATTCAGAGAGGTGACAGAACTTATTAAAGTGGATAAAGTGAAAATTGTAGCCTGTGATGGTAAAAATACTGGCTCCAATACTACAGAATGAATTGAAAAAAAATGGCTTTTTTAATGCCATCTTCTGTTATTATTCATTGCTTTTTTGAAGAGAAGCATAGAAGAGACTTTTTTTTTATTTATTCTGGCATCGCAGAAATGACTACACTGTGTTATATATACTATCAGAATTCCAATAGAAAGCCTATAACTCTAGCCTCTTACATTACCTTTTCAGCATGAAGAAACAGAAGTTTTTTTTAATAACAGACATTGTTGCCTTCCTAAGAACATTCTTGAATAAACTCATTTTAAAACTCAAAAAAATATATATAAAATATAAATATAAATACTACTGCTGGGGTGAAGGTGAAGTGGCACCCAGTCACCTTGAGTCTTTCTTTTCTGGATTTCTATAGCATTTAAAGAATTAGTAAAACTGGTAGCATTGTGTCTATTTTTTATACTCTGTGGGTTTTGCTTTCCAATGAAACTTAACTTCTTCAGGATGGGAATGAGTTTTTTATAGCCACCATGGCTTCTGCTGCTCATTCCTCATTCCCTCTAATGTGACTTCCACCCCGTCATCATATCACTGAAGCACCTCTTTCTAGGGTCAGTAATAACTGTTGTGTTATTAAATCCAGCAGACTTTATTTTTACTTCACCTCTCAGCATTACTCAGCACTATGAATGAGTTTCTTATTCTGAAAACTCTCTCCTCCCCTGGCTCCTGTGACATCGTGTTCTCCTCCGTTCTCGGGTTATTCTTTCTCAGTCCTGTATAGGTTCATCCTCTTCTGCTAATCCAGTAGGTGTTGGGATTCCTCAAGACTCCGTCGTAGGTCTTTTCTCTCTCGCGTGATTTCATGTGTATTCACAGCTTACTATTTATTTTCAGACAACTCAGACAGTCACATCTCTAATCCTTCTGCTCAGAGCTCTTATTGTGGTTTATATATCTCAAAGGCATCTCAGCATAATCTAAAACTGAACCCACCCATGATTTCTACTCTTCCCCCTCCTTCCACCATATTTGATCTTCTTTTTTTATTTTTTATTGTTATGTTAATCACCATACATTACATCATTAGTTTTTGATGTAGTGTTCCATGATTCATTGTTTGTGCATAACACCCAGTGCTCCATGCAGAATGTGCCCTCTTTAATACCCATCAGCAGGCTAACCCATCCCCCCACCCTCCTCCCCTCTAGAACCCTCAGTTTGTTTTTCAGAGTCCATCGTCTCTCATGGTTGGTCCAAATTTGATCTTCTTTCAGTGTTCCCTGTCCATCTAATTGTGCAAGCCATATATTAGACTCATCTTTGAAATCTTCCTCACTCCCTGTATCCAAGCTGTTACTAAGTTGTCATTTTTATGCTTTTACATCTCAAACCCATCTCCTCTTCATTTCTGCTTGTACCTTTTTAGATTAAGATACCATCATCTCTTGGGGCGCCTGGGTGGCTCAGTCGTGAAGCGTCTGCCTTCGGCTCAGGTCATGATCCCAGGGTCCTGGGATCGAGCCCCGCATCGGGCTCCCTGCTCAGTGGGAAGCCTGCTTCTCCCTTTCCCACTCCCCTCTGCTTGTGTCTCTCTCTCTCGCTGTCTCTCTCTCTGTCAAATAAATAAATAAAATCTTTAAAAAAAAACCACCATCATCTCTTGCCTGGATTATTTTGGTAGCTTCCTGACTGGTCGTCCTGTGTCTGCTCTTGCCTCCTCTGAGTCAGTTCTCCCCACTTCATTGTAGGCTTTTTGAAAATGTAGATCTGGTCGTGTTATCTCCCCTCTCAAAACCATTCAGTGGCTTCCCATTGCTTTTAGTATTCAAGTCGGAATCTCTTCTCTGGCCTCTAGGCCCCAGTGTCATCTGGCTGCCTGTCTCTCTTGCCTGATGTACTGCACTTCTCCCCTTTGCGTCTCTGCTCCACTTATACCGCCCTTCCATGTCTTCAGACATGCACTGCTTTCTCTCACCACGGTATCTTTGGACATTGTGTTCCTTCAGTCTAGAACAATCTTCTTCACCTAAGTAATTTTACTATTTCTCCAAATCTCTACTCAGTCGTCATTTCCCCGGATAAACCTTCCATGACTCTCTAGTCAGAGACCCCTGTTAGATACTAAAATGCTACCATGTTAAATTTCAGAGCTACTAGTAATTCATCATAATCCTTAACACAGTTGTAATTTTACATTTATTTTTATGACTATTTAATTAATGACTCTCCTCTTTGCCACAGGACTTGAGGACTTCCTTTTCACTCATCATGGTATCCATAGTGCCTAGCATAATGCCTGGAATATAGCAGGCACCTAATATCTATTTGGTGATAGGGGATTGAACAGGTGGATGAATCGAACCCAGCACAGTTGTAGACACACAAAGGACAAGTAGTGAGTGAATGACTTGATTTGCTAAGGAATTTCTGGGAAGCTAAAGAACAGCTTTTACTCTAAATTTTTTGAGTGGTGGTAACATAGTATAAAGGAAAGTCCTGTGGCTTTAGAATCAGACACTCTTGGGTTCAAGTCCCAGGTCTGTGTGTTATAGACCATGTGATCTTAAATAAACCACCTAATTTCTTTGAGTCTTAGTATCCCAATCCATAAAAATAAAGATGATATTCTTATTCCACAGTTGTGACGATTAAATTAGACAATATATGAAAAATATATAGCACAGTGTTTGGAGTGATAGGTAGTCAATATACTTAAAGCCCTCTTTCTAAATTTTGATAAAATCTTTATTGTGATAAAGCACGATAATGTTAAAATATGTGTGTGTTTTGCAACATCAAACATGCTATTATACAAGATTCTTTAAAAGGCAGTTCCCTTGTAGACTGCAGTCACATTTTTTACCTTTACATTTTTTACTTTAGAAGTACCAGGAGGCCTTCATTATGACAGACTTTCTAGTAATGTGGTCTCACAGCTTGAAAACTGAAAACATTATAATGATAGTGTACTTATATAATTTATACAGTACTACAATATATAGCTTCTCATAGCTAAATTATTAAAATACAATTTATTGGGGTACCTGGGTGGCTCAGTTGGTTAAGCATCTGCCTTCAGCTCAGGTCATGATCCCAGGGTACTGGGATCGAGCCCCACATCAGACTCCGTGCTCAGCAAGGAGCCTACTTCTCCCTCCTCCTCTGCCTGCCCGTCCCCCTGCTTGTGCTCTCTCTCGCGCTCAAATAAATAAAATCTTTAAATATATATATAATTTATTTAAACAATATATATTAGACATAGATTATAACATTGATTCATTAACAACCTAGATTGCTTTTCAACCCACTTGTATAGAGTGCCTGCTTCTACCCCTACTTTTTTTCAGTGGTGAATGAACAGGCTTTGAGCCAAATAACTAAGTTCTCGGTTTCTTTCAGAAGGGCTGTATTAACAGGTTGTGGGTAGGGTTACAAGAGTTTCTACAGTGGGTGCAATGCAATCTAAAAAATTAAGACATATTTCATAGATGCCTTCCCTAGAGAATCAAAAGAGAAGGGTAGAGAAATGTTTAACCTACGCTTGTAACATTTGGCTGGAGGTCATAAATAGTAAAATGGTATATTTTTATAGCTACTGTTCCTTTTCCTTTCTTTCTGCACCCCTGATTGCCTCCAAACAAAACAAAAGATGAAGATATGTACTATTTTGTAATAAAAAGTATACTCTAGACTAAGGAGTTAATAGTGCCGGGTTTGAAATCCATCTTTCTTACTAGTTAGCCATACAACCTTAGTCAAGTCTGTCCGATCACTGAGCCTCTGTTTCTCCCTCTGTAAAATCAGAGAGTTGGGTTAGATGACCTCAAGAGTACTAAACAGCTTTAAGATTCTCTAATTTCAAGTAGCCTAAGTTTTTCCCCATTTGGATATATAAGAATAACTTG